ATGTTTTACGGAGAATTGCTTTTGCTTAGAATTTCTCTTCAAGTCACATGGAGTGTAAGTTTTATTTCATTGCTATTACTCCTGTTCAGAATAAACTAGATGAACTCGCGCAACCTCTCTTAAGACTAACTTGGAAGGACTTTCCAAATCTAATTGAGAAAGCTCTACAGGTTATTAAAATTAATTTATATTTTCTAGCAATCCACTGAGCTTCTTGCCATAGCTATAGCGGACATTTTGGTTGAACACGAATTGTTCGTGAACAATTGGAATGATATTTGCAGTAAGTATATACATTATCTTTTTCCATATATATCTCATTGTAACTTGTTTTTACATATTTTTAGCCCGTATACTAGCTTCAGATTCAAAAAAGTCAAAACTCAGGATCATTCAAATAGCAGTTCACGTTGCCTTAAGATATGGAGGCTCTGTCGCTGTAGTTAAAGCAGCACTTAACGATCTCGTCATTGAGCTAATAAGAAATCAAATGCAGAATCCTCGTCTTGGTTTATTTAAGGATACGTCTAATCTAATTTTTGATCTGCTCAATAACGTATCTTCCTGGAATACGAGCAAGAATATGCTAGCACGCCCATGTGAGATACAGAAAGGCTCAGGTGATATTGTCTGCTTTTCGGGACAAGCAAGTGCAGTGATATCGCCCTCTTTGTTATTGGAAATTTTTGTGAACTCGTCTCCGCTATTTGATGTCGACCTCTCGCCTTCCTCTCCCAAGCTATGCCAGGTATTGGTATTAGAGACTAATTTAACCTATGTTCTTGTAAGCTCAATAACTTACATATTTTTTGCTTGTGTTGCAGAAATTATGTGAGATTCATCCAACTGCTATTGAAGCAGATGTATTGCTACGCTGGTCTATATCACTAAAAAAGGCCTTTGAACATGGAAGTGATGTGCATATTTCGGATTACTCAAACATGAAAGAAAGCACTCAACTTAACCATTTTTTTATTTCATCGGAACCCCACTCTGGTATCGATGCTGCTCGCTCTTGTTTATTAGTTCTTCTTCGAAAGATT